TATGCGTTTAAATAAAAAGAGTTCTAATTTCTTTTTATTTGCCTGTTTTTTGCTTTTTTTCCCCCAGTTCTGTGGTGATTCAGTGACTGTTCTGAGTTTACTCTCCGATTGTATATTACGACTGGCTATTGCTCCTCAAAGTGATGTTGTCGGTATTCCAGAGAATCAGTCGGATTATTTACACTCGTTAACTCTTCCATCAATCGGTACCTGGATAGATGTTTTCATTCCCAGACGATCGGTCTATGTGATGCGTCGAGCACTGCGTTACCTCTGTACACATGCCATCCTGTCGAATGCGGAAGTTGGACGTATGCATCAGGAACATGAGTCAGTTGGTTTGTATAGCGTATCGCCACGTGGACGACGTGTATCTGTTATCTGCCGGACACATGCAAACGACGATCTGATCCCTTTCTATAATAATAATGATAATAAAAGTAATAGTAATATTAATAATAATCCCGTTGCCGTTGATGAACAGTCGTCCTTAAAGGCGAAGACATAATTTCGCGTGTTCCTATAAGTTTTTTCTTCCATGTACATATGTATTTATAATTGTACTGTAATATGTAGATAAAATATAGATATTTGTTACAGCTTTTTGTCTTTTGTGTTTTACTGTACAATGTCTTGTTTGATCATTTGGTTTGTTTCTCATATCATTTTTAGATCAAACTGTTCGGACGGAGTCGTTAATATCATAATTATTACTATTGTTCTCTTTCATTACTCTCAAGTCTGTGTGGAAGTCAACACCCAGCACTCAGCGTGAAAAATAAAATCCGGATTTTCAACTCAAATGTGAAGTCAGTGCTATTCACTAAACGGACCAGAGACTTGGCTCCGCGTCATGCAGAGCATCTCAAACAAACTACGGACCTTCATCAACAGCTAACTGCCTTCGCTCACTACTCCGCTCAAGATCAGATGGCCGACCAGAAAAGATCAGCAACAGGGATCTCTGGTAGTGAACCGACGAACCAACCCAGCAGGAACCGATTGTGCAAAAGATAAGCAGGAAAAAATGGCGGTGGATTGTGGCCATACTCTGAGAAAACAAACCATCAAGTGACATCACAAGACAGGCCATTGCTCGAGTGGATACCCGTTGGAACGGGAAGTGGCGAGTTGGTCGTCACTGCGAGGGTGACATGGAGGAGGTCGTGTAAAGAAGAGATAAAAGCGTGTTGGCAGACCTGGAGCCAGATAAAAACGTTGGCGGAGAACCGAACGCAATGGAGACGTGGCTGAAGCCCTATGTTCCTCTAGGAACTAGAGGAAACAATAATAATAATAATAATTATCCAACAGTACATCAGTTTCCTCTCTTTAGTCCTTCCCAATTGGCTCCACCACCCACCACAAACTGATCTCCTCCCTATCATCCTCAGAACGACGACGATCAACAAGTCGTCCCCCACTCGGGTTCCCACTCGAGATCCTCCTCAACTGGTGTTCACTCTATCCACCTCCATTTGCTTCTGCATATTTCTGTTGGCCAATTGGTTCTTAGTGTTTATTTATTATCTGTCAGAGCCTCTTACTGCCTATCCTTTCTGGTTGGCCATCTCATCTTCAGGATGTGGAGCAAGCGTAGACAACTGTTGATGAAAGTCTGCAGTAGTCTGTTGCAGAAATGCTTGTTGAGAGGAACCATGTGGCGGAACTGAGCGGGTCGTACGCCTGGGAAAAGGCGGGTAAGGAAGGGTGTGACTGTCTCTTCCGGAAAATCAATCCAATTGTTACAAAAACTTCAAAGCATAGAGACTGTTTTACTCTCTCCTTTAAAATTTCCTTTGGTTATAGTTATTATTGTTCTGATCTGTGATTTGGACAGAGTAACGAAGATTATGTTATTGTACAAGTGTTGATATGGTTTAGTGGGGCTGACTGACTCACTGTTCTGTAGGCGGTCGGCTTTTAACAACTATATGATAGAGAAGATTTGTAGCTCGGGTGGATGGTATTGCTGTGGTTGTGTTCTCTCAGCTGGATAGTTGATTTGCGAAGCTTTCATTACCCCACCACTAGGCAACATCTTCAGCGCATACTTCAATTTGAATTGAAGTTAGCTTTTAGATTTCTCCACGAGTTTATTAATCATCTCTCCCGGTGACCTTGGACGTGGTTTTGGTTGTTTTTGTGTGTTTTCACACCTTCTAGGGTACTTGTATTGGCATTGGTGCTGATTGTTTCTTTGACTTGAACTTTGACCCTTTGTGTGTGAGGTTTCTTTCTTATCGGTTGATAAATTTTGTCTATCTCGATGTGTGTATTGATTGAAGATTCACTGAAATACCAGGCAGGCTTCTAAAAATTCTCTAGCATTCATGGTGTTTCCTCTGTCTAATATTTGAACATTGTCCCAATCGAATTGATGTCCGTGGTTGTTTGTGTGTAGTGATATAAGGGAGTGGATGTCATGTCTTTTGATGGCTAGCTTATGTTCGTGGATACGAAGACGAAGGGGACGTCCACTCTGGTCAATGTCATTGTTTTCCGCAGTTGTTGCAATTTATTTTGTAGATGATGTTGGTTTTATCTTCTTTCGCTGTTGAGTCTTTTGGTCTAACAACTATATTTGGTGTCACACCATGGGTTCGAACCCTGCTCCATCCAGGAAACGAGGTTTGGCCATTCAGGTAGTGTGATTAGCTCTTATGCACAGACACAGTCGGTGTGTCTCATCGCCCCAAATGCATATGGAAGTATGCAAGTAGTTGATGAGTTGTCTTTCATTGCTTTGCTTCTCAAGTGAAACATGTGACTTCAAGCTTGGGCGTGATGTCTCAGAAGCGTTGGGTTTCGAGTTCTAAACTCACTCCCAGCCTTTCATCTTTTCCGGGCTTACAATCGTCTAACAAACATTAGGTGAGGTGTGAGAGTGCGTCAGCCATGAATCGAACTCCTGACCATATGTGTAGTTGACGAGTATTCAACAACTGAATCTCTGGTAGCATAATACTACTTTTTGATTCAATGATGTGTGAACTGTTGGGAACTATTCACACCCAAAACAATACTGCTAACTAGGCGAACTGAATTGATCTAAACACTGGGCAGCCGTTTTGATTGTTTGAGTGTGAGCCTATCAGTGGTTTACCTCGATCGATTCAACCAACCACTTGGGTGAATTTCGGTGGCTTGAACATTTTCGGTTCTCTTTTTGAGTAGTTTTCAACTACCCATAACATCAATCAGTAGTATATAGAATTATATTAAATTTATTTTGCATGAGACAATTTATAATGTGACATTTTCATCACTGTTGTCAACTGCTCTTCTCTAACTCAAAAACATATTCAGTTCATTTGAAACAAAAAACCCAGATTTTAACAATATGTACTTCAAAATGCTAGGAGTTGCGTAGGTGATGGCTTGGAGTAGAGTTCAAGAGGTCCTTAACTCATAGACCTATCTTATTGCTTCATGCGTTAATGAATGTCCACTTAACTTGTCAGCAGAAAGTGAGAAAGATTGAATACTAGGGAGTACTGGACAGTTGTTTTGTCTTGATTTGGGACTACTGTGCAGTACGCATGCATGACGCGCCACCCACCAGGAATAGATCCCAGGATTTTCAGGTTGCAAGCTGATCTTGTATGCCATTCAACCGTTGGGGCTCATGAATTCTAAGTCTAAAACTTGGGCACTGTGGTAGAGGATAACTCCATTATGGATAAGATTTTATTTTGATAAATCACATAGTATTGAACAGTAATATTAACTGATGACGTTTCGAGCACAAATTACTGCTCATAATCATGTCAAGTCACTTGGAAAACTTTCTGCTTCATGAGTAAAGCTGATTAGACGTATGAATAATATCAATATAAGATAAAGTATAGTGTGAATTGAATACATTTTAACATTATTTATTATCCTCCGATTTGACTGGTATTTGCATTGAGTCATTTCTATTGCATGTGTGGGGTGTAGACTCGATGAACAAGGATTCCGTAATCAACCACTGTCTCTCTCCACCCACCTACCTATATTACTCCTTAGAATTTTAACCCTCTCCCAGCCCATTGTGTGGTTGTGTGTTAATGTATGCAGTGCAATTGCTGAGCTGTTTTCTAAATTACTTATCTCCGTGGGATCAATCATCCTAACCTTAGCTAAATTCTTATATTCTGATAATCTTACTACTCCCGATCTACTAGTTTGACCCATGTAGTTAAGCTAACTCACACTGATTGCAAGGTATTTTGTAAATTATAATATTAATTTGTTTAATTGGGTCCACCGGGTCCTTTAGTCCACAGAGCTTGTCCAAACTGAGTGAGTTTGCAAGTTTAAATGCCACCCTAATTCCTACTTTATTGTAAAATCCTATGCACTTATGTATATAAATGAAGCAAACAATTGTGTGAGTGACTTGATATGATAATGTGCAGGAATAATTTGTGCTTGAAACGTGGTCATCAATTAATATTACTTACTGTACAACACCACTGTGTGATTTATTATCATGAATTCTAACTTCTACAAATTCGCTATATGTTGTAACACCCACCTCTATTCAATGTTATCCGCGAGTATTTGACCTGTCATCCAACTTGGCGGTGGAACTCCTCCCTTCGCTGGTCACGATCAGTTGAAATCAATCAAATTCCCTACCAACCAGTATTGCTTGAAAAATATTTTGTGCTGCTCCTCTAAAGATTTTCTCGACTTGCCCTATTCAGGTAGGTAGTTACCTGGGGTTCTAGTGAGACGTCGTGACCAGTAGGGTGCAGCAGGTCGGCTCTGAAGACAAATACTCGCCGAAGACATTGGCTACGGGTCGCGCTATGTCGTGAATTGGCAGAAGTTAGAATTCATGGGCCATTGGATCGGCTCCCAGTGGCTTAATGGTCTACGAGCTCGCTGGCCTTGTAACCAGAAGGTCCTGGGTTCGAACCCCGCACTGTGGGTGCGCAACGCTGAAGAGTTCAAAACTAGGATGAAACAGCTGTCCAGTACTCCTAGCTGGTTTTCCAATGGTTCTCTAACTGATGTCAGGTCATGATGAAAATCCTGTAACATTTGATTCTCTTTGATATCCGTTATCAGATCAACTTGGTCTGCTACTAATGCCGTAACTAATCAAATTTTTCTTTTCTTGTTTTTTATTTGCCTTAAACACAGAATATTAACTTTTAAATCACAAAAGCAGACAAACAAGCAAGCAAACAAACAAACGTAGAATGGAAAACGGACGTAATACAAATCTTCGTAGTCTTGTCCGTCCTGTCTCACCGTTATCCAGATGGCAGAAAGCACCACTACCACTTGTCGATGACAAATACAACGATGATGATGATGCTGTTGTCGACAGTGATTCCGAGAGAGTTGGTCGTCGTAAACTGTCGTCCTCGTCTGGCAAACATGGTCATCGTAGAAGTAGAAGTCGATCACCGGCTATATTTTCCTCGGTACATCTTTCTTCAACTGGTACAACAACAACAACAACAGCAGCAACAGTAGACAGACCTCCAAGTGAAGAGACTAGACGTATTATTGTACGTCGTCCACTACATGACCATCCTGAACCAGAAGATGATTATGCGGGAAAGCCGAGTTCATCAAAACATCAAAGCTTGAAGGCAACAGATGACTATTCACGATCAATGGTCACTAGTCATAACAATACTAAAAGACGTTCAAAAGATGAACGTTCAAGAAAGACAATGCGACGTTCAATGTTGCACAAAAATCATCGCTCGATACCACAACCAATACCACCAAGTGGTATTGACCGAGAGAATACATGCCCCATCCTGTTGCGTATCTTTTATTCGACAAATTCACGGCATTATTCATTATCCGATTATAATAAAGGGAAAATGCCGGAGAATGAAATACAGCTGAATACTTGGTATGTTTTTGATGAAGTGGGTTTTATTATTATGTCTATTTTGCACTATTTTTTCATGGATAATTCCCATCTAGGCATGACCCCAAGTAAGTCTTATTCCGTCGCCTTCATGAGGCAGGTTGTTATAACTCCGTTGCCAGTTTGTTATGTCTGCGCCTGCTAAATACTATAACGGTAATGAACTCAATTGATACGCTAATAATAATGATAATAATAATAATCTACTTTATTCCAAAAACAGCACTACTTATAATACAGAATGGAATTCTCAGCATTTGTCACAATATTGCATCTGATTTACTTAAAATATAAATAAAATGAAAAATTAAAACAAAATTAACCAGAGGAATTTGTCCACAATTACGACATAAAGTCAAAAATATTCGAAGCACGAATTGAGATTATTAAATATAATAATAATAACAATAACAGTGAGTTTGTTTCAAACGGTATTGTCGATTCAGTTTGGAAACTTTAGCATGTTATAGATTATTGGATCTAATGTTCTGTTGATATAGTACGGTGAGGGGAAATAAAAAAAAAATTAACAGTTATAATACAGGTAAAATTATGTCCACACTTATGAAAAAATAAACAAAACAAAAACTGAGAGGATTATTAGTATAAGAAATACAACAACAATAAAGGTTGATGTTGTAAGGGTGGAGGAAATGGTTTATTTAGTGGTGCGAAGAAGGTTAGTTAGTTAGTTCATGCCTAACACCATTTTCATCACATAAAGTACGTGCCGCCAAATATGGTATAGTGGAATTTATATACTTAGACGTATGTGCATAAATTCTTCTGAAAAGACTTCTTGTTTTACCTAAGGAGACACAAGGTTGGAGCTTCGGCTAAAGTGGATGCTCACAGTCTGAAAACATTCCTTTAGCGAATTTGTTGCATGACATCAAGTGCCTGTCAATGACGAAATCAATGATACGGCCCACTTGTCCTACTAACAGTCTTCAGAGTTCTTTGAAGTATGACATAGTCCTTTTTAAGCAATCCAGGAAAGAATAAGGGTGAACAGTAAAGAAGAATAGGTAAGATGCACGAGTTGACAAACTGTGAGAGGAGAGGTTGGGTTATGCCTGAGTGTATTAGCTTCTTAATGTAAAAAGTCAGATGAAATATTCTTTTAGAAATCATTAAGACATGGGATGACCAGGATAGGGTAGAAGAGAGAATTCATCCAAGATACTTAACTTCAGACTTGGTTTCTATATCTTTTTTTTTATATTTTTTTATCCTTCACGTTCCCCAGTGGAACATAGGGCTTCAAGCTAGTGACTTGAAGTTTCTGTAGCAGTGTTTATTTTTACAGGATGGGGTTGCTAGCCTCATGCCCAACCTTTCCTCTTAGCCAGCGTTATTTCTGGCTTAGCGAGGTAAAGGAGTGCGTCGGCCGGGGATCGAACCCCGGACCATGTGCATGGTCGGTTTCTATATCAGTATCATGAATTTTGCAAGGGTCATAGGATGGCAAACATGGTCATCGTATAATAACACGAAGTAGAAGTCGATCACCAGCTATATTCTCCTCGGTGCATCTTTCTTCAACTGGTACAACAACAACAACAGCAGCAACAATCGACAGACCTCCAAGTGAAGAGACTAGACGTATTATTGTACGTCGTCCACTACATGACCATCCTGAACCAAAAGATGATTATACTGATGATTATGCTCCTATTTGTCCGTTGTACCTTCCGATTCACTGAGCCCCGCAAATATCAGAAGACAAAGGCTGGCCTGTGACATAGTTTAAGGAACAACACACATGATATATATATATATATATACATTTAGATAAAGAAAGGAAGACGAAATTTGCAGTATAAAATGATATCATCATTCTATTCCACAGGTTCTCATCAGCTGCACATCACTACCTGAAATTACAATGGTTATACATGGATGATAATAACATACTTTAATGTTTAAGTGGTAGTAGTAGAGAAGAGATACTATAAAATTGACGCATCCAAAATGAAAGCACTACAATTTTTAGTTTAAGTTTTCATCATCAATTTATGCGCTTTTAAAGTTGAAAAAGGCGTAGAGGTAAGACAGAAAACAGAAAAAAATTAATTCACAGAACAGTGTTAGCGTGTAGGTTCACATAGCAACTCAAAAAAACAAAAGTGGCTACAGTTTATGAGATTACGATTTGTTCAGTGAGTTGAGATCACTGAATCAGGTGACTATTTAATGTAATCAAAATCAAAATTCAGTTACCAAGGAAGTGAGAGGTTAATCACACTCTCTTTCTGTATGCCTAAGTCTGGTTGGTATGAATCGTTTGATTGCGATCGCTTCGGTAAATCGTAGTAAATTTGCTGTCCTTTGTCTATTTAATATTTTGAAGGACTTAGAAATCTCTACGAGATGTTCTGTATCAACAATATGTCTAGTTATTGCACTCTGAGAATATTTGCTTCCTTTTAGACACAAGTTTCTTGGAATATGTTCCGAAAAACGTATAGAAGCCTTACGTTTCGTTCTTCCAATGTACTTGCTCCCGCAAGTGCACGTAAATTCATAGACAGAAAACACAAGGAAGCAAATATTCGCGGAGTGCAATTACCAGACATACTGTTGATACCGGACATCTTGTAGAGATTTCCAAATCCTTCAAAATATTAAATAGACAAAATAGCCTACAGAAACTCAAATAAACAAAATAATATAGTTTACTAAATACCCTGCAATGACTGTGAGGTCAACTACATGGGTCAAACTAGTAGGTCAGGGGTAGTCAGATTGTCGAAACATAAGAAGCAACAAGAAACTCTGCAGGGGAACAACCCAACCAAGAACCTACCGCTCAACCGACGTGGATCGGACACATGCTGAGGATATAGTCGAATGACATCGTGCGCCAGACTATCTCTCGAGTTGTGTGTCGATTCGAGGGTGATATTGAGTAGCTCAGAGACTATGGACAATTGTTGGGTCAGTTGAAGAGAACCGCAGAAAATTGAACGAAGTGGAGACGTGTTCCTGAAGCCCTATGTTCCACTCATAACCCCAGGGAACAATAATAATATCTTCCAATTTGATAAACCTATTTGTGAGTGGTGGCTCTGACTGGAGCTTATCTTCTAAAGAAACTGAAGAGTTTTGGAGCACTTTTTCCTTCAGTTGTTTATTGGATCCCGGAGTGTAAGGTTGTTTCACTGAAGAGTCCCATACCAGGACGAAACAACTTTCCAGTACTCTCAGGTATTTCATTGGTTCTCTAACTGATATCAGCTCATGGTGGAATCTTGTAACCAATCAATCAAATCCTTACAAACCAATACTTGAAGATCACCTTACTGTTCAGTGTCCAACTACAGTTGATCGGTGATACGCTGATATGCGGTATGACTCATATTTACCCTATTGATTATCGATTTTGATTGATGTCATAATGTAAAATCTGATTGTTTGTCAAGTTTCCAACTCTAGTATAATCTTCTGTCTCATTTAATTCTACAGGATTGATGCAACTCTTGCCGAATTGGCTGAAGAAGTTCGTAGTGTTGTACGTGTAGCTAGACGTCGAGGAACACGTATGCATTTCGCGGTTGTCTATCCTGACAGTCGAGGTACATATGGACGTCGTCAACTTGGTGTTGTGATTACAGGTTATGGAGTAAATTCTGGGGATAATTTTGATGAAGAGCCCAATGATGGGATGAACAATAATAACAATAGTAATAATACGAATTCACAGAAACCTTTCAACTTGGTTGACGATTCAGCAGTGACGCTTATATCGAAAAAGTTCCAAGTAAGTTTCGCTAAAACTTTTTGAGTATATTTCAATAAAACAAGTATACACTTCATTCAACAGTTGTAGGATAATGCTGAATGCCAAGTAATCCACAACACGAAACTCACGGAATCCTTCGAAGTGAAGACGGGAGTAAGACAGGGCGGGTGGCTGTCTACTATCGCCAATGATTTTCCTGGTTGCGGTAGACTGGATAATGAGACCGACAGTTAGCGGGCAACGAGGAGACAAGCATAAAGTGGACCCATACAAAAAATTTGGAGGATCTGGATCTCGCCGATGATATATGTTTGATTTCCTACAAACTGGAAGATATGCAAGTGAAAGCAACAAGTTGGCACAAGAAGCATCAAAGATAAGAAGGACTTCAGGTGAACATAGGTCCCACTCATTTCCCACTCGGGGTTCATTCAAGCGCCTTACACGTAGTGTCAGTCAGTCGTCTACTTAGTGTATTTTCAGTCTGCTTCCATTTCCTTTTTTATATTTCTTGGACAATAAGTACTTGCCTGGTGGTGGTTGTTCACTGTGTGACAGACTTCCTTGTTGCCTTTCTTTTCTAACTGACCATCTGATCTTCAGCATTCAGCGAATACAGCTGTTGACAAGAGTTTCCAGCCTGTTAGAAATGCTTTTTGTGAGAAGCAGTCTCCAACTCTCCGAAGTATATAGAAGCATTAACTAACTTGACATTAAGTTTTGAAAATCAGGATCTTCTTCCTTGTGCTGATTTTGCTTTTTCGATGCTGCCGCCACCTAAATAAGTGAAAGCGGTGAGACTTCCTTTAGATTTCTTCCATTTATTGTCTATTGGTGTTTGCTGTTGAGATGTCTGTCTGTCTGTTTTCGACATAGAACTTTGCACATATGTGCGGCAGTTCAAGTCGCCACACTCCATGTAGCACACAAAGCAAGAGAAGAAAGTAGAAGAAATGCATAATAGAGACAGTAAACAGAGGTGTGAGACAAAGAAATAGTAATAACGAAGAACAAAACAGTTTCATTGGAAATCATAAGTCACAAGGAGTGGATGCATCTGCACCATTGAGAACGATTTTGAGCCACGTCACCAATTGTTTCCAGCCATTGGTTTTTACCGTCCTGAGGACACCAACCAGGAAGTCTACACCTTCCTACGTAGCCTAGACTAACTTGTAGATTTCATTGACTGGTGCCATGTTTTCGTTTGACCGCCGCTAGCTCTTTTCCAGCCTGACCCTATATCAGCTAACATTGCCCGTCGAGGAAGGCGATGACTAGGCATACGTAACACATGTCGTAACTATTTCAGTCGATGTAATTTCACAGCCTCGTCGACTGATTTCCCCCCCCCCTTACCTAGCACTCAACGCCTAACCTCAATATTGCTCATCTTATTATACCACTTTACAAGGGAGATAGAACGCAGACACCTATGATCAAAGACAGCTAGCTAGGCTCTTCCTGTCCTCCACTCTCAATGGTCAGGTCTCACAGCTAGCCATAAAGGAGGACGGAGCGGACTGATGAGCAGTACACACGCCCTTTGATCGATAGTCGGATATCGCGTCTACGCCAGAGACGGCGTAAACTGGCATATGCGAACCTAGCCCTCTGTATTAGTGCTGAGATTTCGTCAGAGATCAACCCGTCGGGGCTGATGGTACTTCCAAGGTAAGTGAAGCGGTCGACGTGCTCTACCACTTCACTTCCTATTTCTAATCTAGAAGTCGGTTTAGTGCAATCCTGTAACATCGTAGTTGAGATAGTTGGGTAATTTCATTGCTTCTTCCTTGTGTTTGTTCATCTGAAGTCTTATCTTCACTGTTACACTTCTGCCAACTTGTTGATTTTCTCCTGTAAATCATCAGTGATGCCACACAATATATCCTACTTTTCTCTGGTAACTGTAGGGAAGGTGTCTTTTGTAGTTTCATCCGTCAATTTTTGTGTGTTTAACTTGAATTGCAGTTAATCTTCCAGCCTCTTTGAAGGTTTTCAACTGGTTGTTGAAGGTTCCTTTCATTAGAAAATGAATGGTCTTATCCTACATTTGCTTCCATTATCGATTATGATATTATTATTATTGTTCCTTTGGGTTCCTAGTGGAACATAAGGCTTCAACTGCACGTCTCCAATTGCTTCTGTCTTCTGCTGTACTTTTCACCTGCATCCATCCATGTTAGTCCATACTGTTTCAACTCTTCTTCACACGATCTCCTCCGTGTCACCCTTAAACGTCCCACTCGCTACTTCCCTTTCAGGTTCCACTCAAGGGCCTCGAGAGCGCGATGTCACCCGGTGGCCTCCTCAGCGAGTGTCCAATCCATCTCCACTTCCTCCTGCATATTTGTTGGACGACTGGTTCTTGTTTCGTTTGTTCCCATAGTTTCTTGTTGGTTCTTGTTCTTTCCGGCCATCTGATCTTCAGTATAGAGCCAGCGAAGACAGTTGTTGATAAAGGTCTGCAACAGGCTGTTGGAAATATTCTTTGTGACACCCTAGCCAAGTTTCTGATCCGTATAGAAGAACTGACTGACTTGACGTCGTTTGTATTGAAAATCCGAATTTCGTTTCTTGATTATTAGACTTAATAAAACAGGTGCCATTATATTTTTCAATTAATGCCCAATTGCTCTATCTACTGTTGCATTATAATAATTTGTGTATTATATTTTTTTCCTTTCAGATTGGAGATTATGTGGATTGTGCTATTGTTGAATACACTCCAGGTTCTTTAGGCGGTTGGTCTTCAGGACGTCGTCCATTAGGCCCGCGACCACCACCAACTCTCAATGCATCTGATTCACGTAATTCTGCACTAGAAGAAGCACGAATGATATAAAATAATAATAATAATAATAAAGAACAAGAAAAAAAAGAAAAAGAAAAGAAAAGCGAACAATACAACAATTGTAAAATTATTCTCTCTCAATCGAATTTTTTATTCCATCTCCCTGTTTGTTTGTTCGTTTGTTTTTCCTTTTGTTTTTTTTTGTGAATAAAAGCCAACACCCTGTTTTTCCTCTTTCTGTCTCTTTCTTTTCTCCTTGTTTTGTCGTTCCTCTTATCGTTCAATATGTTGGTTTCAAAGTTGTGTTCATATTGAGTTGTAGTTAGTTGATAGTTTGACTGGTTGTGTTGCTAACATGGTGTCAACTTGTTTGCTAAAGTGAAGGCAAAGAGAGAGAGAGGAGATAGTGGTGATTGTGATGATTCTATGACATTCTTATCTCAGCTTTCTTCACAAGCGGTTTCGTCCTAGTTTGGGACTCTTCATCAGCATGTGATCACCTGGGTTCGAACGCGAGACCTTCCGGTCGCAAGACAAGGTCGTAGACAATTCAGGTTTGAAGGAATCGATGAAGGTATCATGAATTGGCAGAAGTTGGAATTCAAGGGTCATTGAATTCCCGCCCAAATGGCTGAATAGTAAACGTGTTCGGTGTCTTAACCTGGAGGTCCTGGTTTCGATCCCTAGTGGGGTAGTGGGTGCGAACTAGTAAAGATTCTCTAAGTTTGGACGAAACAGCTTTCCAAGGCTCCCTGGTTTTCAGTGATCTCTGTAACTGATGTTGGTTTGTGATGAACATCTAACACAGCTGAAACAAAAAATTAATGATGAGTAATTGTCATCATGCCCAAATTGGTCGACCTCATCGGCAGGACATCTTTTTAGAATGCTTGAGAGTTAGAGATTTAGGCAACAATGAACTTTTCTGAAGAGGTGGACATCGATCGAAGTTATTTCTAATCTACCAATTAACCATTTTTTGCTATGAGAAATTTTGAAGTGTAGTTTTATGAAACATTATTGTATTAGTTGAAATGCCTTGTTATTAGTGTAATGGAAAACACAAAGATTTCAAGATTGATAACAAACTGACTTCTATTAGAGAATCAGGACCTTTGGGCTTGAAGATAGGCTCTCAGAGACTATTCAGTTACTGGGAAGGAATCCAATGGCTCATGAATTCTAACGTCTATTGGTTCATGATGTATTTCTATACGTTCCGAGTGGAACTTAGGGCTTCGAAGTCTCTGTATCAGTGCTTTGATTTTTACGAGACGAGGTCGTTGACCTTACGCCCAATCTTCCCTCTTCACAGGCCGTACTACTAACTTAGAGAGGTTAGGGGCGAGTCGACCGCCGATAGAGCCTTTGGGTGCGTGCATGGTTGGTGAGCTTACTACCCCTAAGTTCTGCGTTGAAACCAGTCAGTCACGTCACCATTGAGCTGTTCAATTCAAAACCAACAACTTATAGGCTAGGATTGTATTTACCAGACTGAAAACATATAGCATTTTTCTTCAAGTGGCTGGAACCAATCACCAGGAAGCTATAGGTCTGGGTTTCGCATTTCCTGCAACTCGTCAGCGAAGCTTATCTGAAACCTGAAGTGAACTGATGTCCCCTGATAGATTCAAATCCGCATCACAGACGTTATCACTACACTATTCGGACTCACGATTCACCGCTTATAGTGGAATCAATGACTAAGTGCTAGGAAAATAATCACTGTCACGTTTCTACTCCTTTATCTGAGGGATAACTGAATTCTATGTGACAAGTTTCCCTGTCAAAGTCGCTGACGATAAGGAAGAAACCTAGGTACATACCTTCCCATAGATTGCCTCCAACCACCTGAAAGCGACTCAGAATACACCGCATTGGCTAGCCACCTAGCATGGTGGCTACCATGAAACTTGACTGACAGAATTCAGTAAGCGATAATTTCAAAAGAGGACTAGAAACATGAAATTGATTACCTCGTAGTGAGTGATCGATGTACACAGCGGTTAGGACGCTCGCCGGCCATGCACATGGTCCGCGGTTCGATCCCCGGCCGACACACTCCTTTACCTCGTTAAGCCAGAAATAATGCTGGTGAAGAGGAAAGGTTGGGCATGAGGCTAGCAACCCCGTCCTGTGAAATAAGCACTGTTACAGAAACTTCAAGGCACCAGCTTGAAGCCCTATGTTCCTATCAACGTGAAGGAAAAAAAAATCAATGTACACAAAGAAGTCAACTCTTATACGTAACGACTTATCACCCATGACTATGCATTCCGATATCATAATTCAGTGCATCTGGAGAACTCAAAGAGAACATCTTCAGATACAAGAGTTAGGGGCATAGTTTGACAGAAGCATAATACCTATCTCACGTTTGCTTTACTATCACCTAGTCATTATTCAACAAATCGTTTTAAGCTACCCACTACTTTATTATTTATTATTATTATTTCCTTTAATTCCTAGAGGAACATAGGGCTTCAGCTGCACTTCTCCATTGTGTTCGGTTCTCTGCTAAAGTTTTCACCTGGCTCCAGGTCTGCCCACATGCTTTCATCTCCTCTTCACATGACCTCCTCCAAGTCACCCTTGGACGACAACCAACTCGCCGCTTCCCTTTCGGGTTCCACTCAAGTAATGGCTTGTCTAGTGATGTCACTTGATGGTTTCCTCAGAGTACGTCCAATCCACCTCCATTTCTTCCTGCCTATTTGTTGCTTATTTCGGTAGTATATCTCGTTAAGTGAGCATTCTTCTTACCTTGTTGAAATTTATCATGGGACATTGTGTTAAATTTTATAAATATGCAAGCAAATAAGATATACATACTTCTTAAGCAAAAGTTTAAGTTACTTCATTGTACCGTCAAAAGACGATTAAATTAGTTCACCGTGTTATCTGGTGTTCATCTGGCTGGCTTCACTAACCTCACGCCCTCTCTTCCCTCTTCAAATGCCTTTCTGGCAGCTTAGAGAGGTTAAGGAGTATGGGTAGAGAGCCGGACCACATGCGTTCTTGGCGAGCGTTCTCACACCCCCGACTTAGCGTACCCTATTGATCACAACTTCTCATTGGAACTTCAGGCAACTTTATCTTTTAGTTAGTCAATAAACAGATGTCCCATGCCACTCATTGCTTGTTTTCACTGGTTCTCTAACTGAAATCAATTCGTGTTCATTCTTGAAATCATTCAAAGCCTTGCAAGCAAACACATGGGTTATCTATCAGCAGAATTATTTCTATGACTAAAATAGCATTGAGTAGTGGTAAAAGGGGAGAACTTTTCACATTGAGATTCTAATCTGCATAGAGTGTATTTATCTCTTGTGCTTCTTACCGCATTTCTCCTAGTGTCAACTTTATCTAATGTTCATTTAATGAAAATTTTTTGCAAAAGACACTAAACAATGTATATATTACTTATAACTTCTTATCAGTAGCATGTGACATAATGCTAACACTCATGTCAATCCGTAATGTGTGTTTTCTAAGTCGAAGGGATTCAGCTCGTTCGCAGCTGAGCTCCTCACGGTTGATCTTATTATAATACTCATTATTCACTGATAGTAGTCTCAAACAGTAACCAAATAAAACAAAGTAAAGGGATGGAATTTAATGAACTTGAATCCTCATTGGTTTATAGCGGTATAGAAAAAGAGAAACTGAGCAAAGCTTAAAATAATACACTGACATTCCTGTGTCAGAAGATGGAATAAATAATTAGAGCTCAAGTGTTGTTTTGGAGGGATTTAGTTGGTTACAGAATTTCATCAAGAGCTGAAATCACCATGCGAAAACAAGCAGGCAGTACTGGACAGCTTTTTCGTCCTAGTTTGGCAATCTCCAGCAACGTGTGCTCCGGAGTTCAAATACAGGACCTTTCAGTTACAAGGCTAACTCGTAGGTCATTGGATTGATTTCTAGTCGCACAACTGCCCAATTTTCCAGTGGTTCTCTAACCGATATCAGCTCATGATGAAATCTTGTAACTAATTAGAGATTGTCCAGAAGAAATCTCGTTAACACTCGGGTGAATAAATTTGTACCAGCCATATGATGATGATGTCACATGGTAAGTGATGGACATTGGCTAGCTCACGGAAGCCTGTGAATCGAAGATTGGAGTAATAATACTAGGCTGCCTTCTATCATCAATGATATTCCCGATTGTGGATCTTGAGACAGACCATGGGAATTGAGAGGACTGGCTTACGTTGAACTGACAAAACACCTCCGAAGATTTGGACTTCGCAGATGAGTTATGTCTCACAAACTCAAAGATTTACTAGGGAAATCCAACAAGTCGGCAGGAGAGGCAGCAATGATCAGACTGCAAGCAAAGATGCTGATAATGGTGGTGTGGCGCTTGCTACTGATAAGATTTATCAGTAGTATGTAATGAGACATCCATTGCCATAAAAACATCAAATAGCAGGGAGATACATTTGATGTCACATAAAGCAAATGATAGAGTGTTGCGGAGATATATGGGAGACATGAAAGGAACACAATAGCAAAGAAGGCCAGAAGTAGCAGGCACAACACGGAGGCTCTGTACAAATAATACGTTGAAGATAAGGTACACATAATTTCGCTACATAGAGAAACCAAATCCCAAATACATACTCCTATACCAAGTCTCCATCTCCTACTGCTTCATTGGGGATACTCAGCCAACAACAAACACCAGTAAATTTCAGCGAGAGAAAGCCAAGTGAAGTCGTCTCTTTCGTGTATTCAGCTTTGTAGCATCGTTTCAGCTGGAGGTGGCACAGATGACAGTGTCAAAGCCAGCCAGACTAGGGGAATGGGATCAATATGGAGACATGCAGAATAATAAGATCCGGATTTTCAAAATTAATGTCATATATGGTAGTTGCCTGGACGGTAAGGATAGACGGTAAAGAACTTTGGCAGTCAGAAAACCATCAAACAAGAACCCATTGCCGAACAAATATGCTGAAATAAGTGGAAGCAGATTGGAAATACTCTCAGAAGACCACTGACTGTGATATCCGTTCTCGAATTCTCGAAGGAAACTTGCCGAGTTGAACGTCGAAGAGTGAGATGTGGAAGATCATGTGGAGTGAAACTGAAAGTTTATTGACAATCGTAGATGCAGATGAACAAGGCTGAAGAGAACAGATCGTAGTTGATGTTTGCTGCTTAATCTGTGTTATGTTGTTGCCCATGCGGTTTAGCTACGGTGCTGTAGAACTGGTCAACAGGATTTAACAGGCGATGAAGATGAAGTAATATGGTGAACTAATTAAACCGTCTTTTGATGGTACAATGAAATGACTTAAATTTTCGCTTAAGAAGTATGCATATCTTGGTTGGTTGTGCATTTATAAAATTTCATACTATTTCCCATAAACAAGGTAAGAAGAATCCTTAGTCAACAAGATATACTACTGAGCAAAGTAGTTAGTAGCTTAAAACAATTTGTTGAATAATGACCAGGTGGTAGTAAAGCAAATGTGAGATAGGCATTTTGCTTCTACCGAACTAAGCCCCTCACTATTGTATCTGAACAGATTCTCTTTGAGTTCTCCAGACGAACTGAATTCTGATGTCAAAATGCGTAGTCGTGGGTGATTAGTCGTTACGTATAAGAGTTGACTTTTTTCAGTACATTGATTACTCATGACGAGGTAATCGATTTCATGTTTCTAGTCCTCTTTTGAAATTATCGCTTACTGAATTCTATTTGTCAAGTTCTAAGGTAGCCACCGCGATAGATGGCTAGCCAATGCGGTGTATTTTGAGTCGGTTTTAGGTGGTTGGAGGCAATCTATGGGAATGTATGTATCTAGGTTTCTTCCTTATCGTCAGCAACTTTGACAGCGAAACTTGTCACATAGAATTCAGTTATCACTCGCACAGAGGATTTGAAACATGACGGTGATCATTTTCCTAGCACTTAGTCATTGATTCCACTATAAGTGGTGAATCGTGGGTCCGAATAGTGTAGTGATAACGTCTGTGATACGGGTTTGAATCTTTAAGGGGACATCAATTCACTTCAGGCTTTAGATAAGCTTTTCTGCCGCGTTCCAAGAAACACGATACCCACATCTCTGCCCTCCTGGCGATTTCTTCCAACCACCTAAGGAAAAATTCTATTTGTAGTCAATTATCAAATGCATTCCAAGACTGTAAGTGGTTGGTTGTGAAGTGAATAGTGTCGTGACTGACTAATTGATTCCAAAATAGAACTTTCCACAGATGTGCAGGATTTCGAGTTGGCAATCTCCCACCTGGTAGCATACAGAGCAAAAGAAGAGAGATATAATAAACCTAAGTGTGAATGAAGCAAAAAGTATAGTAATATGGAAGAACAATAGATTTTTATTGGATATTATCATTCATAAGGAGTGAGTGCATCTGCGCCAGCCATTGACAACGATGATTTTGAGGTATATCACCAACTAGTTTTTATCATCCAGAGGAACCCAACCACTCAGGAAGTCTACACCTTCCTACGTGGCTTAAACTAACTGTTGTGGATTTGACTGACTGATGAAGCCATTTTTGGTTTGACCACCACTAGCCAGCTCTTTTCCAACCTGATCCATCCTATGTCAGTCAGCTAACACTGGCTGTCGTCGAGGAAGGCGATGGCTAGGAATGCTTAATACATGTATTAACTATTTCAGTCGGTATAACTTCACAGTCTCATCGATTGATTTTCCCTCCTTATCAAGCACTCGACGTCTAACTTCAGTATGGCTCACTTTATTATACCACCTAACACGGGAGATAGAACACAGACGCCTATGACCAAAAGCAGCTAGCCGGCCTTTTCATGCCTTCCACTTTCAATGGTCATGTGTTAATCACAGCGATAAAGGAAGACGGAGCGAACTGTTGAGCAGTACACACATATTTTTATTCGTCTATCAATATAGCAAGGTGGAAACTGTTATCAGATGAGAAGGAAAGTGCATACTTTCTGAGTATTTTTCGGATTAAGTGTCTGGATAACTATTGAAAAGAGAATGCTAAATGAGTTTAGCAGCTAGAAGACTAAATTACTAAATCTAATTTATTGACAATTGAAATCAATACACAGGAAATATGGTGCAATTACTGCTTAATTTTAACAGTTTATAATGATGTGAGTATGCATTGTTTTCCTTGTAGTGCAATGAGCAATCCTGAGACTAAGTGTAGAGTGTTTGAGAAGGTGAACAAGTCAATCGATGAGGTTTTCTAGCTACATTGATTAAGATACCCAGGGGAGATGTTATGCGCGCCATATCACCTGCTTCCTCGATGGGCAGTGATAGATAATATAGGATTAGGACAAGACATATAAGCGAACAATATTGCTGTTTTCAATTAGATCTTCATCAGACTTTCCTCTAATTGACATAGATTTATACATGAAAATTCTAACCAATGATGGTGAGTTTGTGGATCAAATAATAATATGTTAAATGTTTTGAACGATGATTATAATGATAGCAAAAATAATGATAATAAGGTCTGTGCGGATGGCGATAGGAATAACGAAGGTAGTAAGTAATATGTGTGTGTATATGTAGACAATTCAATAAAATAATGAATTAGGTCAAATCTTAAAAGTTACGTAATACTAAAGGTGAAGTGGACAGATAATCAGAGTTTAAATTAAGTGTCATAAAAGTAAGAGAGAAATGGAGAAGAAGGAAGGGTGGGAGGTATTTCTAATTGGAAATTTACCTAGGTTTAGCAAGGGAGAGACAAAGGTAGACCAAACTTGTTTTACGTACAAAGACTAGGATTGTTCCTATAGGAGTTCCAATTCCATTCGAAAGGTTCGATGGAATGTGTGATAGATAACATAGAAGGCACTTCTTCTGTCCATTTGGTGACCGCCATCACCCATCAAATATCATAGAGCAAAAGTGTTTACAGATTTCACTTTACCTTTTTCCGAACTATGAAAAAAGATGTTCAGGACTACGTTTGTCGTTCACTTTTATGTCTTGTTCTAACATAGGATTGGGTTGAGAACGAGTTAGTGGTGGTTAAGCTTAAATCTAGCTTGAGTTCATGGAGTCTTTAGGAGTTGGTTTCAGCCTGCCAGGTAGGGAGGTGTATACCGTCTGGGTGGAGTCCTCAGAATACTAAGAACTAATGGCTGGAGACTATTGTCTATTTGGCTCAAAATAGTTCTCAATGACAGTAATTTCCCATATCTATGAAACAGACATACTTTTTACAATTTTACTATTCTTTCTTTCTCCTCCATATTTCTTCTCATTCTAATTGTTTACAGGATTTCATTATGAGCTGACATTGCTTAGAGAACCATTGGGAAACCTGGGAGTACTGGACAGCTGTTTCGTCAGGCTAGTTAGGGACTCTTCCGCAGTATGCACCCACAGGGGTTCGAACCCAGGACCTTCTGGTCACATGGCGAGCTAGCTCGTAGACCATTAACCACTGGGACCCGATCCAATGGCCGGTGCACGAATTCTAACTTCTGCCAATTCACGACATAGTGCAACAACTAGCTATTGTTTTGGATATCTTCTTTCCTATTATTGTCTAACTTTGTGTTGTACATGGAGTATGACAAATTGAAGTGTTGCACGTCTGTGCAAAGTTCTATGTTGAAACTATGTCAGTCAGTCAGTTAGTCAGTCAAGTGAGTATGTCACCAAGTCAGGTGATATTAACTTCCACAGACAAATGAAATCTCAAGAAGTATAAAACTTGGGCACTGTTGTGGTAGCGTATAACTCCATTATGGATAAGATTTTATTTTGATAAGTCACACAGTGTTTTACAGTAATAATAACTGATTACCACCTTTCGAGCACAAACCATTGCTACTCAAATGCCAGTTTACGCCGTCGCTGGCGTAGACGCGATATCCGACTATCGACCAAAGGGCGTGTGTACTGCTCATCAGTCCGCTCCGTCCTCTATTATGGCTGTGAGACCTGGCCATTGAGAGCAGAAGACATGAAAAGCCTAGCTAGCTGTCTTTGATCATAGGTGCTTGCGTTCTATCTCCCATGTGAAGTGGTATAATAAGGTGAGCAATGTTGAGGTTAGACATCGGTCGAGTGCTAGATAAGGAGGGGAAATCAATAGACGAGGCGGTGAAATTACATCGACTGAGATGATTAGGACATGTGCTACGTATGCCTGGTCATCGCCTTCCTCGACAATGGGCAATGTTAGCTGACATAGGGCCAGGCTAGAAAAGAGCTAGCGGCGGTCATACCAAAACATGGCACCAGTCAATGAAATCTACAACAGTTAGTTTAAGCCAGTCACGTACGAAGGTGTAGACTTCCTGGTTGGGGTCCTCGGGATGGTAAAAACCAACGGTTGGAAACAATCGGTGATATGGCTCAAAATCGTTCTCAGTGGTGCAGATGTATCCACTTCTTGTGACTTATGATTTCCACTGAAAGCATATTGTTCTTCGTTATTACTATTCCTTTGTCTCACACCTCTGTTTACTGTCTATACTATGCATTTCTCATACTTTCTTCTTTTCCTTTGTATGCTACATGGAGTGTGGTGACTTGAACTGCCGCATATATGCGTTAAGTTCTATGTCGAAAACCGACCGACTCATAATCATATCAAGTCACTCACGCACACAACTTTTCCCTTCATTTATATACATGTGTGGAATTGACCAGATATTTGAATAAAAATCAATATAGGATAATGTACATTCAGAAATAATAATACGAGTGTTATTGATGAATTACAATCAGATGGGAAATAAGACGAGTGCTTTTTTATAGTCAAAATGAGTATCATGTTATAATGTTATGATGTATGTGAATTGAAATAGAATTCTGAGATTATTAATTATCCTCCTCTGATTTGACTGACTGGCGGTAATAATATCTTCCATATGTCTGGTATTTGCATTGAATCACCTCTGTTGCATGTGTTGGGACACCGAATAATCCCCAGCTATTTTACTTTATTTTCCCCAGTACTGAAGTTTTCAAAATGTCTAACGGAGGAGAATGGTGGCGTCCAACCAGCTTACCGCCTAGTGGATATCGACTAAAATCCAATGAAACTGCAGAAGAAGGAAATGCCTCATTTTATCCATTTAGCACTGAATTGGGCTATAGAGTATTTAAACGATTGCTTGAAATAGAACGTACAGCTGATTGGGAACAAGAAAATAACAGGGTTTATAAAGTGAAGACAATCAAACAAATCGATAGTGAAAGTAATCACTTCTATTTGAAAGGATCATGTTCACAAAATCCTACAGTGGAAGAAGAACAAAAAGACAAATGTACACCATTCTGTCGATCTGATAATGATGATAGGCTTGGTAAGTTCCATTGAAGGTTTTCGAGCATTATTTACTGAAAATAGGCGTTTATGTGTGAATGAAACACCAGCTACTATAGTGATATTGGTAATATCCACCCTCCCCCTCCCCGCCTTATTGGGTTCCAAGTGGAACATCAGTGGAGCATCAGTAGTATTTCTCCATTCCCTTGTTGGTCTTCTCCTGTTATTTCTATCTGGCTACACGACTGCCCACAAGCCTTCATACTGTGGTGAGACCTGGCTGCTAGCCAAAAACTGGTAGATATTATTATTATTGTTCCCTTGGGTTCCTAGTGGAACATAGGGCTTCAACTGCACGTCTCCACTTGCTTCTGTCTTCTACTGTACTTTTCACCTGCATCCATCTATGTTAGTCCATACTGTTTCAACTCCTCTTCACATGATCTTCTCCATGTCACCCTTGGACGTCCCACTCGTCGCTTCCCTTTCGGGTTCCACTCGAGGACCTCGAGAGCGCAATGTCACCCAGTGGCCTCCTCAGCGAGTGTCCAAACCACCTACACTTTCTCCTGGTAGATAGTAATTTATGTCAATGTTTACGTCCCCAATATTGGTCATGAGAAAAATAAGAACAAAGACTGCTGACTCAACAACCAATCACAGCAGACTTTGCGTAGGCGGATACAATTTGCAGATAGATAATCTGAACTTCAATAAAGGGCCACAAAGAGATGAAATATTAACGTTCAGCGAGAAACCACCAATCAGAAGACTGTGTTTGTTTGCTTACAATGATCCATAATAATGTACATGAAAATATATAAATAAGTGTTGATTTCCTAAATAAACGATCTGTTGCCTGTCCCTTGTCTTCTGTCGTTACAACACGATCTCCTCCATGCCATCCTTCAATTCCCAGCTCTTTGCTTTGCATTCGGGATACACCCGAGGACTTGGAGCCAGATGTCACGGAACGGTCTCCTCAGCCTATGTCTAGTCCAACTGCATTTTCTTCGGCATAATTGTTCGGCAGTAGGTGCATTGCCTTACAGAGTTCCTTGGCGCTTATCTTTTCCGGCAGGTCAAATGATCTTCAGTATCTACCGAAGGTGGCAGGTTCGGTACTAAGTAATCTGTAGAAGCCTGTTGGGCAAATACTTTTGGTAAGGCGTATACAAAGTCTGCGAACCACACAGAGAATCAGCACATCAGAATTTTCACCACTAATGTGTTATGTTAAGTGTAGTGATTTCAGAACAATGAAAGTTTGTCTTGCTTTCCTGATCATCTTTGAGTTTGAAATTGTCATTCATTCTGCTTTTAGTTAAAACGATGTCGTACTCCTAAGAAGGTGAAAGAACAAACTGTTTTCTGATTTCTTCTGTGTTTCGCCATCTATACTTATCGTTGCTGCTGGTTAAGTGTCTTCATCACTTTTGTCTTCTCTATGTTCACCTGGAGTCTTCTGTTCGCTGTCGCTTCCTCTAACTTGTTAGTTTTCTATTTGGAGTCTTCGACTTTGTAAGACATCAGATATTATTATTGTTCCCTTGGATTTCGAGCGGAACATAGTGCTTCAACTACTTCGCTACTACGGTGTGCCACAGACAATTATACATCTCATCCAACAGCTGAACGACAATGCTGCATGCCAAGTAATCCACAACGGGAAACTTACGAAATCCTTCGAAGTGAGGACAGGAGTAAGACAAGGTGAGCTGCCTACTATCGCCAATGATTTTCCTGGTTGCAGTAGATTGGATAATGCGACAAACAGCGGCGGGCAATGAGGAAACAGGCATAAAATAGACTCACACAAAAAACTTGGAGGATCTGGATTTCGCCGATGATATGTGTTTGATTTCCCACAAACTGAAAAATACGCAAGTGAAAAACAACAAGTTGGCGACAGAAGAAACATCAAAGAAAGGAAGGACTTCAGGTGAACATAGAGAAGACAGAGGTGATGAAGATTCCTGGCCAACACCAAGAGTAACAACAACAGACAACAATCAGCATAAGTGCAAGGAACCTGAAGGAAGCGAGCTCCTTTAACTACCTGAGAAGCATCGTTTCAACTACAGGCGGAACTGATGAGGATATCAAAGTAAGGATCGTGAAAGCAAGACAAGCTTTCACTACTCTCAAGTCTGTGTGGAGGTCAACAGCACTCAGCATCAAAAATAAGATCCGGATTTTCAACTTCAATGTGAAGTCATTGCTACTTTATGGATGAGAGAGTTGTCGCGTCACGAAGAGCACTTCGAAGAAACTACAAACCTTCATCAACAGCCGTCTTCACTCAGAACCACTCAAGATCAGATTGCCGCAAAATATCAGCGACAGGGATCTCTGGCAGTGAACAAAATAACCCAGCGGGAACCGATTGTGTAACAAATATGTAGGCTTAAATGGAGGTGGATTGGCCATATCTCGGGAAAACAAGCCACCAAGTGACATCACACGACAGGCTCTCGAGTGGAACCCGAACGGAAGGCGGAGAGTTGGTCGTCAGTGCGAGGATGACATGGAGGAGGTCATGAGAAAAGGAGATGAAAACATGTGGGCAGACTTGGAATCAGGTGAAGACTCTAGCAGAGAACCGAGCGCAATGGAGACGCACGGCTGAAGCCCTATGTTCCTCTAGGAATTAAAGGAAACAATAATATAATGATAACAGAGCTTCAACAGGACATCTCCAATTTGTACCGTTCAATGCAGTTCCCTTTGATCCTACTATCTTCTATAAGCTGTCATCTCCTCATAGAACAATCTCCTCCATGTCACACTCGAAGTGGTACACAAATTGTCGATTCTTATTTTAGGGCGATGTCATTTAACGGTCAGCCTCAGCATGTGTCCGACCCTTTTCCATTTTCATCAGCTTATTTTTCGAGTTATAGGCGGTTGATTGCTTCCTTACCTGATGTCAATTCATTCTGGCTGGCTATCTGATCTTCAACATAGAGTCAGTGAAGACAACTGTCGAGGAAAGTCTAAAGCCTTTTTCAAATGCACTCCTTGACGCTTACGCCAAGTTTCAGCCCCATATACTGACTGCAGAAGATTTCCAAATTGATTTCTGAGTGATGAGGGTCTGCCTTTTCTTTCCAATCCTGGCTGCTTTTAACATCCTTATCCTTGCAGGTGGCCTGTAGTCGAACCGATGCTGTCTAGATAAGTGAAGGAAGTGACCTCTCAAATATGAAGAACAAAGTAGTATGAAACAATTGAAATTTCATTTGGGAACAGATGTGATTTTGAAACCACTGGAGTAACCATGAAGTACGTGACACTTGTTGTTTCATCCTGGTCTCAAACTCTTCAGGAGCATGCGCACAAAAAACTTCTACGTTACGAGACTGTTATATCACTAATCTGTGACTTGAAGTGGAATTCAACGACTTACGAGTTCTAACTTCCCTCCAACTCACTATATATATAGAACGCCACCGTCGGCCAATATCTTCAACAAATATTTATCATAATATCCAGTTTGATGGTCCCTGCTGGTCATGCCTTCTCATTAGAACCTTGAGCATCCGATTCCATTATCAGCCAGGAATCTTTTTCAAGTACAACGCGAAACTCCCTGTCTTGATTTCTGGTGTCTAGAGTCGTGCACGAGGACTGATGAGGAGCCCCAAACCAGTGCGAAACATTTGTCTCTTACACTTCCCAGTTTTCACTGCTTCTCTAAATGATCCCACTTCTCCATCTTGCTTGAAATTAATCAAATCACGGCAAACCAACACACTCAGAAATTGGTCTAGTGTCCACCAGTGATTGAATACACCATAAAGTTATCTGAAGTTCTGTTAGGATGTCTTTGGTCAGCAGAGTTCACTAAGCTGGTTGTGAGGACTAATAGTCGCCTATGGTATTAGATGGTGATCGCTATATATATATATATATATAGCGAATTGCAAGAAGTTATAATTTAATAATAATATTAATAATAATAATAATAACAATAATGATCTACTTCATTCCAAAAATAGTACTTGTGGTACAGAATGGAATTTTCAGCATTAGTCACAATATTGCATCTAATTTCCTCAAATTATAAATAAAATTAATCACACAGAAAAGTTTTCTACATTTACAATAGGAGTATTGTCAAAAACATGCAGCATATATAATGGAAATAATAATAATGATAGCAGCTAAGATAATGATAATAATACAAGTGGAAATTGCCGTGGGCTTGTTTCACACAGTATTGTCGATGCGGTAGAGAAATCCTAGCATGATTAAAAATATTGAATATAATATTCTCTTTACATGATATGGTGAGGGAAAAAACAGAGAATACAGCAGTCATAAAGATAAGTTGGTGTTTGCAATTGTGAGAGTAAAACAAAGAAGCAACAGGACCATAAATATAATAGAAATAATAAAAGTAAAACTTGAAGGTATATAAGGATGGATGGAGGAGATTGTTTATTTACTAGATGAAAAAAGGTTAGTCAATTCTTGCCTGACACTATTTTCATCACATAAAATACGTGCCAAGTATGATATCATAGAATGTTTATACTTTGACGTGCTAGCATACAGTTTTCTAAAGTTACTTATTGTTCTACCTGAGGAGGTGCAAGGTGAAAGCGGAGGGTGAAGTGGATGCTCCAAGTCAGACAAAATCCCTGTAGCAAATTTACTCCATGAAGTCAAGTGCCTATTGACAACCACGTTAACTATGTGGTCCACTGGGATACCACTCACCCTACTAACCGTCTTCAGCATTCTATGAATTGTGACATAGTTCTTTTTAAGCAAACCAGGAAAGAATAACGGTGAACAATAAAGAAGAATAGGTAGCATGCAAGAGTTTATGAACTGTAAGAGGAGGGGTTGAGTTATACCCGAGTGCCTTAACTTCTTAATGTAAAATGTCAGGCGGAATATTTTACTGGAGACCGCTAAGACATGGGAAGACCAGGAGAGATCAGAAGAGAGAATAGATCCAAGATACTTAATTTCTGATTTAATTCCTATTTCATTGTCATCAATCTTACACAACTGTCATGAGAATCGACAACTTCTTATGCATCAGTCATCGGATATCTTCACTAGTGGTTGAACAACCTACGAGATCGCTTTTATACCATGAGTCTTGTGACTGGGAGTATGAATGCCTACTGCTGAAGGAAGACTGCCCAGGCAGCTGTCTAGTATTTCCTGATTTCCAGCAGTTCTTTGACTGAAGTCACTTCGTAATCAATCATGAGATCGATCAATTAACTACTTTGAATTAAGCTAGAACAACTCATTTAAGCGAACAATATTGCTGTTTTCAATTAGATCTCATCAGGCTTAACTCTAATATATACCTACATAACTTTACAAATGAAAATTCAAATATAAACCAATCATGGTGTTTTGTCTATAGGATAATAAGATGGCAAACAAAAATTGTGTGATTAGACATTTTGGTGTGGTTGTGTTCTCTGAGCTGGATAGTTGATTTGTGAAGCTTTCACCGCCCCACCACTAGGCAACATCTTCAGCGCATACTTCTATTTGATGAAGTGAACTTTTAGATTTCTCCACGAGTTGGCTATTAGTCATCTCCCCTGGTGGGTGACCTTGGACGTGGTTTTGGTTGTTTTTGTGTGTTTTCACACCTTCTAGGTTACTTGTATTGGAACTGATTGTTTCTTCGACTTGAACTTTGACCCTTTGTGTGTGAGGTTTCTTTCTTATCGGTTGATAAATTTAGTCTATCTCGATGTGTCTATTGATTGACGATTCACTGGAATATAAGGATTCTAAACATTCTCTGGTATTATTGATGTTTCCTCTGTCTAATATTTGAACGTTGTCCCAGTCGAATTGATGACCGTGGTTGTCTGTGTGAAGTGATATGAGTGAGGGAGTGGATGTCATGTCTTTTGACGGCTAGCTTATGTTCGTGGATACGAAGAAGAAGGGGACGTCCACTACGGACAATGTAGCGTTTTTCGCAGTTGATACAATTTATCTTGTAAATGATGTTGGTTTTATCTTCTTTCGTTGTTAAGTCTTTTGGTTGACATAGAATTGAGTGAAGTGACTTTGTTGGTTTGTGTACAACGTCAATTCCTACAGGTTTGAAGAGAGTCTTGTAGTGATTTCTGAAATATCCTTTATATATGGTAGGGCGATTAGGCATAATAGAAGTAATGATAATAATAATGGTTTTATCAATAATAAGGATAAAAAAAGTGAGGCGATCTGTGATTACTCAAATAACGAAAAACAGCATGATTAAACAAACAAATGTTCATGTAGACATAGTAATCGATGAAGGCTAGTAAAAAACAAATGAACCAATTAAGAAATGCTAGACTGATTGTAAGGGAAGTAAATGAAACACGTTTTTAATGAAGATGTGATAAGATTAAGGGATGATAAGAGAGAGGCTGAAAGTATAAGCAAGTAAGGGGTGGTGTTGAAGTCACCAGTTGGTTATGTCATAATAGGCCAAGCAAGGGAGGGATAATGACTGTACGAACTTCTTTTGAATGCATAGTTTAGGGGCTTAATAGCTGTTCGAATGCCTATGGCATCAGGTATGTGTGTACAGTAAACGAATACGAAGTCTATTGGAAAGATTCGGTGGGATACGATGAATTACTTTGCGAGCTCTCGTTTTCTCCACACTACATGACCACTATCAAGTAAATGTGACAAAATTGAGCTACGGATTGTTTTTGTCTGTACTTTACCAACATGATTGGTTGATATTTGAATTTTTATTTGTAAAGTTAAGTAGCTATATATTAGAGTTAAGTGGTGGCACAGTGGTTAGGACTCTCGCCGACCATGCACATGGTCCGGAGTTCGATCCCCTACCGACGCACACCTGATATCTATGGTCGGCCTGCGAAATTTGGGCTACCGATATCCATGCTGAAAATGCCATACTTGTACTGAAAATACGGTGTGGCATCAAGCTGTAAATAAAAAATAATTAAAAAAAAAATAAAAAAAGTCTGATGAGATCTAATTGAAAACAGAGGATAATAAATAATGTTAAAATGTATTTCAATTCACATTCTAACATTCTAACAAGTTATTTATTTATTTTACTGTAAAAAACATCTTATTTCCCATCTGATTGTATTTGATTGATAACACTCATATTCTTCTGAATGTACTTTGTCTTATGTTGATTTTATTCAAACGTCTAATCATCAATTTTTACTCATGTATATAAATGAAGCAAGAAAGTTGCGTGACTAGTGCCTTGATAGGATGATTATGAGCAGGAATAAATTGAGCTCGAAACGTGGTCGCATCAGTAAATATTACTGTATAACAACACAGTGTGACTGAATCAAAATAATATTTTATCCATAATGGAATTATACTCCACCAGAGTGCCCAAGTTTTATCCTTATGTCAGTATACGAAGAACGTTTTACGCAGCAAACATATGTTTGTCATTCTCTAGCCAACGAATGATTGGAACGCAAACGAAGGATAAGCTAGATAGTTTTGCCACATCTATGTGCATTTATCAGTTCAACTGCACCTGCGGTGACAGTTATGTTGGACATACTACTACTAGACAGCTTAACCAACGTATCACTACTGAACTTCTCCCATCGTGGTTTGGCAAAGTACAGACAAAAACAATCCGTGGCTCCCTTTTGTCATATTTAGTTGGTAGTAGTCATATAGTGGAGAAAACGAAAGCATTCAAGGTAATTCATCGTATCCCACCGAGTTTTTCCAATAGACTTCGTACTCGTCTACTGCACATAGTTGAGGCTATAGGCAGTCGAACTATCAAGCCAAAACTATGCAATCATTCAAGAGAAGCTCGTACAGCCATTATCCCTCTCTTGTTGGCCTATTAAGACCTCACCAACTAATGACTTCTACACCACCCTTTGTTTATATTTTCAACCGCTTTCTTATCATTACTCAATCGGTCAAATTGTTCGTCTTAGCTTTTATCGACTGCTATGTCTACCTGAACATTTGTTTGTTTAATCATGCTGTTTTTCGTTATTCGTGTTATCACAGATTGCCTCACTTTTTCATCCTTATTATTGATAAAACCATTATTATTATTATCATTACTATTATTATGACTAACTGCACAATTTATATTCACCATCTTATTATCCTAGAGACAAAACACCGCAGCTGGTTTATATTTGAATATTTATTTGTAAAGTTATGTAGGTATATATTAGAGTTAAGCCTGATGAGATCTAATTGAAAACAGCAATATTGTTCGCTTAAATGTGTTGTTCTAAATTTTGCTTTGGGAATATTTAATATACTTCAAATTTATCTTCTCGTTTTTATTATTGATTGCATTATTATTATTATTATTATTATTATTATTATTATTAGTTCCATCAAATTATCAGTCAACTTCATCATCCAATCAAACAATATCAGAAGAGTTCCATCTAAATTTAAGATGTGATATCGATTTCGACGATTTTTAGTGTTCAGTCTTTACAAGCCCAAGAAGTATACGATCATGGTGAACATCTGTTCTTGTTTGTTGCGTTGTCTATTTCAGTTATGAATAAATACTAAACACATAAAGAGCACTGTTTCATTTGGTTGTTTGTTTGTTAGCTAGTTTGTTTCCAAATAACCTCACTTTCCTCTGTCTATGTCTGTCGCTTATTTGATTTTTGATGTTGTCGTCACCAGTAGGGTGCAGCAGGTAGGGTGGGTGTGAGGACAAATACACGCCGCGGATGACATTGGCTAGCAGCCGCACTATATCGTGAATTGGAAGAAGTTGGAATTCATGCACTGGCCATTGGATCGGGTCCCAGTGGCTTAATGGTCTACGAGCTAGCTTGCCTTGTAACCAGAAAGTCCTAGGTTCGAATCTCCTGTGGTTGGTGCGTACCCCTGAAGAGTCACAAACCAGGGCGAAACAGCTGTCCAGTACTCCCAGCTGGCTTTCCAATGGTTCTCTAACCGATGATGCCAGCTCATGATGAAATCCTGTAACCAATCAAACAAACTCCTACAAACCAATATCACTGTTGTGATTTCGCCACTGAAAACATTGGTAGGGTCTTTGGAACTCGGGGTTTCTGGGTTTTATCAGTGGGAAACTTAGCTTAAATTCATTATTATGATTATTATCAGTCCCTTCGCTCTCGAGTGGAATACTAAGCCTCAACAGTACATCTCCACGTCATTCTGTTCTCTAGAGTAATCTATATCTTCCTCCACGATTACCCACAAGCAAGCTGTCATCTTCCCCAACACACGATCTCTACTCCATGTTACTCATAAAGTCATATCTCTTCAGCATACGTTAAATCCATCTCCGTCCCCTTCGATATGTGGTTTATTGTCAGAGTTCCTTGTGTACTGCAGTGTTTCAAAGATCAACAGTAGACTTTTTGAAGTTAACATTTTGCAAGTGTGTTATTGCTATGTAGAGCATACTACTTGCAAATAGAGTCAGTAGTGTATCAAGCAATGGCTTCGTAGAAGCGATATATATTTAAGTGTCATTCAGAAAAGCCTGTGTGGCAGAAACGGATGCAAGAAGAAGGCAGTGACATACTGAGAAGAATCTAGCAAAGAAAGTTAGATAAGGAAGACATTGTTTTGGTTCTATTTACCACTGGTTGATTGATTGTTGCCCATATATTCTATTACAGACTAATTTTATATATCGTATCCTGTGGTGCACTGTTTAAATATGTGAATGCAATGCTGTTCTGTTTTTATTTTTTTATTTCTTTTATTTCTCTTTTTCTTTTTGTTGTTGTTGCTTTATATTTCTAAATCCTTATAAAATTTATGAGGTAATTAGATGCAATATTGTAATGAACGCTGAAAATTCCATACCTGTACCACAAATACTGTTTGGAATAAAGCCATTATTATTATTATTATAAATAGTTGAATACCACTCATGTCAACTAGTGTAGTGCCTCCATATTAGTATGTTTATTAGATATATGACTCACAGTGCGTGAAACAGTATCATTATTTACTGGATGACAAAGTTTCGAACACAATTCATCATTGTTCATAATCATATCATCAATTATAATCACACGACTTCGAAACTTGAGTTTTATAGTTTTCTTTGTCCTCTCCTATTTGTCGTCGTTGGGGTAGTAGAATTTTCCAGATGTCCAGATGAGTGGACAGTTGCTGAATCATTCCTGTTACACGTGTCGGCTTGCAGTTGACTCGATAAATGAAGCTTCCCAACTCACCACCCTGTTACATTAGATTTTAGAGCTATCATCTTATCACATCCCATCCTGTTGTATGGTTGTGTGTAATTGCGTATAGTGAGTAGTATAGTTGAACTATTTTCTAAATTGATCATCTTATTTGGGTCAAAAAATTTAGATTTTGCTAGGTTTTTATGTTCGTCTAGTCTGACTGCCCCTGTTCTACTAGTATGACCCATGTATTTGACGTGACAACCATTGCAGGGGGGTTATTAGATAAACTAAATTTTTTTTTTTTGCAGGCTCCACAGCATTGATCCTTTAACCGACAAAGCTTGTTCCACCTTTGTGTTAATGTATTCAAAAAATCTACTTATATCTTTTGTTCTAAGTACAGTGTATGTATCATCTGCATACCCCCACCATATTTCGATGCGAGGTTGGGGGTGAACGTTTCAGTCGCTATGTTTTCCCACCTATCTGCCACAACCGGGGATAATGGTGATCCCATGGCAACTCCCTCAGTTTGTTTGTATATTTTCACCTGGAATTTAAATACTGTGGAAGTCAGGTATAGCAGCACTCCCAGCATTATGTCCTCAAGTGGCACTTTCTTCTCTATAGCCATATTTAAAATCTAATGTGACAAGTGGAGGGAGAGATTGATAACGAAAGCTTTGTTTATCGAATCAACCGCAAACCAACACGTGTAATAGGAATGATTCAGCAACTGTCCACTCATCTGGACATCTGGAAAATTCTACTACCCCAACGACGACAAGACTTTAAAACTCAGGTTTCAAAGTCGTGTGATTGTAATTGATGATATGATTATGAACAATGATGAATTGTGTTCGAAACTTTGTCATCCAGTAAATAGTACTGTTTCACTGTGTGATATGTCTAATAAACAAACTAACATGAAATTACTTGCTACCACAGTGCCCAAGGTTTACACATATATTAATTGTTTAGTGCCTGCTGCCCAGCCAGATAAAAGTGCTCCAAATAGTGGACAGTCATTTCGCTTGCTTTCTGCACCGCTCTTCATCGGTATACACCCTGTTTGACTCAGCCTAGAAAGCCAAATCGGTTCAAACAAAGTGACATTATTAAGACTATTGTCTAAGAATTTTCACATCTGCGTTAAAGTTTATAATATCTCCAGTTTGTGTTAGATTGTATGTATCTCCATCAGCGGTGCTGTTCACTTCTGTTAGGCTCATATTCCTGTTCGGTGTAATCACTTTTCACACCTGCGTACTCGTAAAAGTCAACGTCTACGACTAGTTCAGCCTAATCACTACTAACTACCTAGCATTCGTGATCGATCCTACAAGGGATAGGATGCAGGATCTACCAATTTCGAGGCAAATTTTGTGTACAAATGAATACAAAAGACAGATTAGTCCGCCCCGGTGAAAATAAATCGATTTTATTACACAAAAATTTATATAAAAATATTATGTACCTCAGTAAGCTAAGCCTACAAATAGCCAATCACGTTGGTTGCGTAAGATCGGCCATTGTCAAAATTTTCCTGCCACAGCCTAACGACTTTAAATTCATCCAAAGGTTTTCAGCAGGGTAAGCAACGTGCCACTTAACCAGCTTGTTAATATTTTGGTTGACAGGCACTTGGACTCATGTGAAAAATGGGCCAAATCCATTCTATCTTACTCACATCACCCTCTTCATTCACAACTCTCCCCCTGCATCTCATCAGGCAGAACCAGGAGCCCAAATAGAAAACTATATGCTCGCACTAGCAAGTACAAAAACTCAACCATACCCTACTTAGCGCGTGTTCTGTGCGATAAAGAAAGCATTAGGTGTGATACCTATAATTCATTAAATAGTCAGTAGAACAACTGGATCTCGTCTTTCCAACTCATATCATTTATGGGTACAACATTTTTTCTCTCTTTTCCTTTTCTCTCTCTTTTTTTTGTTACCACTCACGCCAGTTAAAATGCTAGTATCTACTTTTCTAACACTTTCAAACACTGTTCAACTTCGGCTTTGCTACCGACATGCCAATATGTTGTTGTCATAATGAAGTGAGATTTTCTTAATCTACGTAGAATTTTATTGATTGATAATGTACTAACTGGATGCAATACTGTAGTAAAAATTCTGAGAATTCCATTCTCTATCACAAGTACTGTTTTGGAATAAAGCAATTTATTATCATTATTACTATTTAAACCTGTCTACGTCATAGCCGTTTTCTATCAGAAAAGTACAATATACTACTTTTAAGGTCTGTTCAGTAGCATACACAACATACTAGCGCAGACGCTACGATGATGGGATGCCGGTAAACTCAGCTGACAAGCCCAAAATAGAACCAGTCTCGTTCATATCCTCATTTCTAGACTACTAATCCCTAATATACCACTTAAAGCCTAAAAAATCTATTGATTCATGGTTGAAAACAGAAATCTTCCTTCTTTCTCGCTCTCCCTCCCACTCTCTCCACAATATTTCCCCGTCGGGTAAAAATTCTGTCGAAAACAAAATTCTAAAAAAAAGGCGAAAAAAACACAAATAATCTGAAATGTTGAGAGGAAAGAAAACAACCATAACAGTGTTCGATTTTCTCAGAATTTTTCATTTCTCAGATGTTTTTCTTCTTCTGTTCCGCAGAAATTTTATCTTGCCAATTTTTGCTTTAAAATGTGACAGATGTTATAGTTGACGCTATCAGATACTTTTTTGTCTTTATTTCATCGCCAATTCTCAGCAGATTTGCGGCTGCTCCCTCCTCCCCTGCCAAGATAAAAAATCAAATTTAAAACCATGAAATATTGTTTCTCTCTCTCGCTCTCTCTCCGTCTTACCCGCTGTTTATGTCAGCCAATCAAGTGTTATGAATTCTCAGCTCTAGTGTTGTTTTTATTTTTTGAGAACTAAAAATCGATTGAATCGTTTTGTAAGTCATTCTATTTCATCTGTTTCTTCTCAGGATGGTTTTCAAGTATTCGCTTGCAGCGAGGCGGGGGTTGAGGGATATCTCACTGATTGAGATCATACTGGGAACAATTGAAAATGAGGGATTAATGGAAAACTAACTCGTCCCAGCTTGGTATTCTTCAGCCATGAGTTCATAGTTTAGGGTTTAGAGCAGGGAGTTTTAAGTTACCAGGCAAACACGTCGGAAATTCAGAGACTGAGATAAAATCTAGTCTTCAGCTCATGAATCCTAACTCTTACCGACTCACAAATTCTGTACATGATAAAACTTGATATCGGTTAAAATCACCCCTGAAAAACCAGAACTT